CGTTTAATACGTACATTGTTTGTGTAAAAAGTAAAAGTTTGATATCAATGTTTAAATGTGTAATACTGCATTATAGATTCAATCAAAACAATCATAGATGTAAACGGGATCCTTCGTCGCATTAAAGGATTTGACGAAAACAAAAAGAGCTATCAGATGAGCTATAATAAGCTTTTTAGTTATTACATTAAATGTAACTGAATTTAAAATAATTCCAATCAAGGTTATCTGCTAGCTTAAAGCCGATACCAGTCATTTGATTCAGAGTTATCTACCTTAGAAATACTTGAATTAACTAATTATTCAGATCAACAGATTGTTATCATTACAATTCATTCTTTTGAACCTTTCAACTTTGTAGTCAACGAATCTGAGTCGAAATTGCCATTCATCAAATATAACTGAATAACTCTCTCAGAAAAGGGATGTGCACTTCTCTTATTTGGTATATATTCTGAAATGATTTATTTCGCAAAACATTCAAATTGACATAATTTAACTCATCAGAAGACAAGCGGCCAAACAAAAACATGTACTTATAAAAAGACGACATCTTTAGCGAAGTTCCCTATCGTAAATCAATACACACCTTCAGTAAAAGCCAGATGAAAATTGGGTTGGCAACACATTTAGGAATCAATGGAATTAATTAATTCATTTATTTTTACATAATATCAAAGTTAATTTATGCAAATATAAAATAATTAATTAATGCTAACTACGCTATCACTTGTATAACCATACGAAAACACTTTTGGTAAACATCTTGAATACAAATCAAACTTCATTAATAAATGTACACGGAATTGAAATTGAATCGGCTACCTTCTTTGATCATGTTAGAAAGTGACAATTGTAATGGTCTCATGACGGTGTTAATGTAACTGTAGTGATGACCAATGGTTCAATGCTTTCTGCTAGGGCTTGATTAGTGTCACAGGCATTGATCGAGAATATAAAGGCAATGACATACATGTAGAACAGATAATTTACTTAAGTAGATTTAAGAATAGATTCTATTTATATCGGTCATATCATACATTGTGTTACACAGATTTTCCACCGAAATGATTTAATAAATATTTCTAAATGGTTACTATTTCGCCGAAAAAAATACATTTACATCGAATATATTTAATCCTGTTTTGCTCTATTATACGTTGATTGGTCTTTCAAGCGTTTTATTTTTAGAGCATTTGCAGTCTGAAAATCCATAAATTCCTTAAACTCGAATGTCATGTAAAATCATGGGTAAGAGACATATCTGTCAGAATAGAATAGGTTCAGGCAACAGTGTTTGATAAATATTTCTGGAATAGTTCAGTTTATTAATTTGAATAAATCGACAAGCGCTGGATTCTTTTACATTTCTCATGAATGACATAGCACGAATATATTAAATTCTTGTTAATCTGAAGGAAAGCCCTGTAACAGTTAAAAAACGCACACTTACACTTGCAATATGATAATATAAACAGTAGCAGCTAACTTATTAGGTCGACCATTAAACAACAGCGGGCAATATAAGGAGCTTCTATATACATAAGCAGTAAATATGTCTTGGATAAGTTAGATCACAGCTTTATGAAGAGGACTTAATCGGGAATCATACATTCATCTTACTCGAACGTCCAACAAAAATATTTTGACACAGCACTCATGTACATCATGTGTAATGTATACTGCACATTAAGGCCAACTCCGACAAAATCACATAATGTAACAACAATTTCAAAATAATACAACAAATGCAATATAACACAATAGCATGCATCCATTTTACAGATTTGTTACAAGTAATTACTACGACCAGTGATGAATCATTTGACCCATTCGTGTAAATTTAAACATACATACAAAATTAAGTCCCGTTAAACCAGTGAGATTTTAAGAAGTCGTTTAAATCTGTATACTCGTTTCCCCTTGTGGGTCCCTTTTCCTACCCATATACATTTGAACTCTCTGATCTTTTAGTTATTGAGTAATGCTAAATACGAAAAATGCAATCTAAGTTCACTTTCCTGTGATGCTAACAACAGCAATTACAAATAAGGAAACAAAAGTGAAATACCATAAACACTCGGAAGTAAAACCAAATATGTTCTGGAATGATAAGCGCTTCAAATGTTAGGGTGTCTTCAACTTCAGGAAAGTACGTCGGTACGCAACGATCTCAAACACGGTATACATGTAAATGACCATGGAAGAAACTGTACAGTGTAGTTGAAAATTTAGTCAGAATAATGACTGCAAAATAACTTCAGCATGAATAAAATGTTTTTGGTGGAAAACCGTGCGAAATAGATAACTGGTCAACAGGACGCATCCATATGGAAAATCCTGTTTTTTAGAACAAGCTCTTGAGAAGCAAATCAGTAGTATGATTTAATCTCCATGGACATACAATAATACATCACTAATTTATTACTTGTAAAATACGAGATGTTGATGTAATAGCACATTGTTTTTTCAGGCCAACTGAGTAAATAAAGGCGTGTTTAACACATTTAAAGCGAGTTACTGGGTAAAAGTATAAATGAAGAACATTACTTACCACATTTTGATAACATTCATAAAACATTAATATGCAGACATTGTCTTTGCTTACGTCATAAAACATTTGCAAAATTAAAGGGTAAGAACAAAGATTATTGCAATGCCATTTACTAAACCTCAAGTCAGATGTACACAATGAGCGATGTATGAAATACAAGGTTCACAACGTTGCGACTCTTAAATGCTGATTTTACTTTATATTAAATGGAAAACGTTATGAAGTATTTAGCATAGACGATTAACCTACAGTTTTATTAAACTATCATTGATAAATTACCACATACACAGCTATAACACATGTAACACTCACCATTTCATAACAATATCCACAAACACTAGGCGAAGTAGTTTGATTATGTAATCAATTGATTTCTTCTCTTTACGTAAGCCCAGTTTACTTTCATTTTGAAGTATTAGCAAATAGAAAAGACATTCCTTTCTGCCACGTGGCTATCAGTAAAGTAATCTCCATGTGAATCATTAAGGAAGCCGGGACATGTCAGCCCATTCCTACATATAAAACTTCCTTATATGTGTAGTCACAATATGATGATGATGTATGACCTTCAAATTCTTCGATTTCATATCCATTATCACGTTTATCATCAAATAGATTACAAATCAACAATTACAAATGAAAGCTAACCAACACAAAGCTTATAAATTGAGCTATTGCACGTATTTTATGAAACAAGCTTCAGCGAATTTTATGAAATTCCGATGAAACGGGATATATACTGTTGGAGACTTTATTCATTATATGGTTTACATAACGATATAAATAAATAGCACAATCTGTCACAATATAAAAACCTAAGAAAAGGTCACTGTGACGTCACAAGCTAGTAATAAATCTTAAACATCTTGAAAATGTATGAAAGACACAACAAACCTAGTAAGTAAGTAAGTAAGTCAAATCACCAATAACGCTCCCTGTGTAATGAACATAATAACGGCTCAGGCAACACTGCGTATAAATTTGTATATATACACATCTTCTCTACTACACATTGTCAACAACAAGTAAAAAGACGAGCCACTACTGTTAAGCACAACTAACACTAGGTCAATCAGTGCGCCCACAACAATCCGAATATATCAGTTGCCAAAATATATGGCCCAGCGTATTGCCATGATAACGGTGTTAAGTGAAGAAACAATGTTGTACATTCCATTATACAATTGGAAATGGAGACCCCATTGGAAATAAGCTTTCTATTGATTTGATGGGCTATCCAAGGTGTAATGATATACGTAAATTATAGATATCAACTTTGTAAATTACCTACTTATATGAAACTGTTTTGTTGTGAATGCCTTTTTCTGAATAAATATTATTATTATCAGCATTAGAAAACTTGGTAAACAGAAAACGAATTCGACTTACTAGGACTTGTTAAATAGACACAAGCCATTATTACTCTTTCAAATAGTTGATCACGAGGACGTGTTCTTGTGTTTTTAACTGAGTATTGCTATCATGATAAATTTGATCGAGACTCCATATTTTTTCATACATAAAGATGTAATAATTGTATCAACGAACAGAAATCGTATCGTATAGCAATTTTTACAAAAAAAAAATTGCAGAATTCATCCAAATGTATTAACGTTTTTCATATGTTGTTATTTTTAATTCGGTCATTTTATTTCGAAGTTAAGAGGTGTACGCAATAACAAAGAATATCTATCTTAACAAAGATGTCAGTTAAAAGTATATATTTTAAGTTTACGAACACTGATATTTGCAATCTTTTCAATTTACACGTGCTCAAATGGATGTATCACCTCGTAACAAAAGTTGCAAGGCCAAAATAGAAAACAAATGTGAAAAACCCAAATAAAATAATAATATTGCTTATGAAGTTGTGGTGGTTTTTTTGTAATAATGCACATGGACAAATTTGCTCTCTTCTTTTAAATCTATTAAATGATGACAATATCAAACTTTGAAATAACCCTCTCTATATAAAGCGTATGTTTGTCCTAAAGTTCATTTAAAGCCAGATGTCCATAGAATGTTCACTTTGGTGCAAGTAGTGGTCTACACATGTCATGTGGTTTTCTATTTCTTTTACTGCCTATTTTTACCTAGTATAACATGTTTTTTTTACTCATTTCTAAATATTTGTACAGAATCATACGTTATATTCGATAAATTTATTGACAACGAAAAACAGTCCGATTTTAATCTGCTGCCATTGTGAAAAAACCCGAATACAATGACCGTAGGGTAGCATCAGTAAAATATCAGTACTTTAGGTGGATAAAAACAACGGCAACGGGAACAGGAAACATCAAAATAACTAATTACATGTAAAGTGAAAATCTCATAAAAACCACTGAAAGCAAACGATTGAATAATTAAGATTAATTTGAAGTTATAATTAAGAGATGAGGTGATCAATAACAGAATCAAAATAGGAAAAAAAAGTTTATCATAAAGCATGTAGTAAATTATTCTACCAAGTTTAAATTTGGTGATTGCAGTTTCACTTGGTAAGCATACGCGCGTAATTAAAATATATAAAATAACCCCTCTCCCGTGTAAACATATATGCAAGGCATTTTGGAGGTGCAACAAAGCTGATTCCGGATCGATATTTTTTTTAACATATACTGTCAACTTGAAATTGAAGTTTCAGATTGACATCGATATCTTCAGTTGTGAGGTCAGTACACAGGTTTTAAAGGCAGCACTTTCACTGGTATTTGAATTTTTTTTGATACCTTAATTGATATGTTTATCTGAGTAAGAATTATGCATGATATGTTTTAAAATTCATATGTTTCTATAGCCATCATTCAAGATGTAGAAAACAATGTTAAAGCTGTTACATGCCAATTTCATGAGGAACCCAGCAAAAAGTTGAGGTAATGTATACATATTACAACAATCTTATTTGATAACTTGAGTTGCAATTTGGGTATATTATGTTAATATCGCTTTTTTGCAGGTGCTTAGTAACAGTCGAAAGGAGAAATATGTAAACAGGAAAAAGTGCAAAAATAATAACTGTTCTGAAGTAGTAAAAGAGAATTTAACTTATATCGGTATATATTTGGCGGAATAAATCAGTCGGATTCGAAAATATTGCAAAAGGTAATAACTCAGGCCTACGGCCTTTATTATGTATTTTATTCAGCATTTCCACATTCTCTTGATATATTTAACCAAAAAACTAAAAACGCCTGATTTTTTTTAAACAGCAAATTTATGGACGAGACATCGTTATCCTATAGATAAAAAATTACCATTGAAAACACCTATCTACGGTTCATACAATACATGTAATTAAAAGGATGTGCAACCCTTTCTGTAAAAATCTACACTAGAAAAGTTTAACCAGACATAAAATATGCGTAACAATTGTCCCTACTTGCGGAATTTGAGTCAACATTAAAATAAAATGTAACACAGAACAAGATTTAAAATTTTCTTAACAATTTCGGGAATAACTGTCCATTTAAACCTCTGAGATCGGAGAATGTCTTTCTTTTAAGCATTCGTTGACTTCTTGCAGCAGAGTATCAGCTTCACAACTTTCTTCAGGTGAATCAATGAAAAATCGGTCATCGTTTTCTCTTGTTTCCGTTGCATTATCGTTGAATTCAGAGAATTCCTCCTCGGTTCCTTGCTTAGGTTTCTTTTCGTTGTTTTGAGGATTACTTTCGATGTGAGAGTCGTTTTCATTAGCACTATTTCCTTTATCTGACAATAAGTTTGCTTCCTCAGAATAGTTGTTTTTCACTCTTCCAGACCTTTCAACTTTTAATGTTACATCCATATCTCCAGGTGAGTGATCGATGTGGCCATTTTGAAAAATGATGTCCTCTGCTCGAACTATCTGAAGTTCAGTTGCAGATGGTCCAGACCTTGCATTGATATTATCATACCTCTCCATTTCAACTGAAAAATTATGATTTTTTTAATATACCAACGATAAATTCTGTATGAATCATCATAAAGCAACATAAATATACTGATATCAAGTACTAAAGTAGTACACGTAAGATTTTTTAATCATTAAAATTGGAAAAAATCATACCACAAATTAACATATAACGTCAATACATAACGTACCTCTCGACGAAACTCTGCCGCGAAGATCTAGCATTGAAATGGATGCAAAGTTCTCCACTTCTGTTACAGCAGGGTAATTCTACACGAAAAATACAAAAGATGCAAAATTATATTCTCAGATTATAACAAGATTTTCAAGATACCTGTGATTTCTACTAAACTTTTCAGTACATGCTTTTGACTGATTGTAGCTTTTATAAATATAGTCCGTATTCAAAACAAAACACATAACGTAGATGCTGAACCTTAAATTCAAATATGAATACTGATTGTTCGAATTACTTATTTTAAGCCCCACAGTTGCATTTCCTGTTCTGTGCAACTGCACATAAGAGACGGACAATACATGAAGTCACATGCACGGAAATAAAAAGACAAAACACGTATGTTAAACAAACAAATTAACCTCACCATGCATCTTTCGAGACGAATGACAAATAACATATTGCATCCTGATGTTAATGTAATCAATTTAACGAGTAGTTTGATGTGATGTTGATGGAAAATAGCATATGCAATTATTAGTTTTGATTAAAACAGAAGAATCAATACATATCAAATGTCTAAGATAAAATCAAGATATCTTATTTCGCATTTATCCGCGAGGAAAGTACATTCAAAAACAAGTATTCCTTTTGTAAATTCAAATTATCGGCAAATGCGGTTAAAGGAGTAACTTCGTAAAGAAGTATTCGCGAGACGTTTAAATTGTCAGTAGTACCGGTGTCTTTGTAAACCGATTTCCTAAATGCGAACTTTCGCCTTTACAAAATCATTTAGTGAGACAGTCAAGGTTCCGACTAGTGTCTATAACACCGGTATGCAAAAAAGTAATAATAGTGAAGAGATGTTTTTAAAATTGCAATGACATGTATTGGTCTGTTTTTGGCTCCAAATGAGCTAAGCAGTGACATTCTGAACAAATGTTAAATTTCTCATTTTAAGCCATCAAATGATGATAACGGTAAATCAAAGGTGACACAGTTCAAGAGGGAATAAAATAAGAACATCAGTAAAACTGGTGGATTATGCTCCCCGAAAGGGTCAGCGAGACTGAGATCAGGTGTGACCTCAATGTGATCTGTACCTTAGGCGTACAGACCTCAAAGTGGTATATGATACGTCATATTTTCATTCACAATATATTCCTTAAATGTCATTGAACATCAAATAAAGTATTCGACCTTTAATTCCAATGTCACCTTGACATCAAGTGTGGAGACCTTATTATACTAGCTTTATGTTCAGTATGCTTGATATACTTACCTGTTTAACTTTGGGGATAAGAAACATAATTAGCGACCCTAAAATTGGTGTTCCTCCAGCAATATAGAACGCAAGGTCGTAGGAGTGCATAGAATCGTAGATAATTCCTACAATGAGACAAAATTGTTATTATGTTAAAAACACAAACAAAAGAGAAACACACAAAATGTGATGATAGTACGCTAAGCAGAAATAACATAGACCTTGACTCCGAAGTTAATGTAGATTTAAATTGAAGCTACAACAAGGTTTTTTATTTAATGTAAACTAGAACTGTCGTCAGACTTTTATCCTGTCTGCGCTAAGAACTCAAGGAAAAATACTTTGAGAACATTTCTTAATGAACAATGCAAACAATTTCAA